TCCCTGTCTCTGGTGAGCACATATGCCCTATTTCAAAAACCAAAAAAAAATAAAAATAAAAAAGTAAAAAGAAAATAAAAAAATGCTAAATAAAAATTTTCAGAATAAAATGAAAGAACTCTAGACAGAGATTTGAATCTTTAGAAGGAAATAAAGTCAACGGCAACTGCAGGAATAAATTTTTTTTTAAAAAAATTGACACTGTGGATATTCTTTTTTTTTTTTAAAAAAAAAGAAATATTTAATTTTATTTATTCATTCAATCATTTTCATTTGACCAGAGAAAGACAGACACAAAGAGAGAAAGAAAGTGAGAAAGCAAGTCACCAGGTCTGGGACTTGAACCTGGAATAAGATATGGGGTGTTTGAGAACATAGAGATGGCTAGTATTGCCAAATATATGTAAAGAAAGAGAAAGCTCCAAGGACAAAAAATGGAGAGTTAAAGGTAAAACAACCTGTTAGGAGACCAGATAAAATGAGCATTGTGAAGATAACTGTAAGACATCAAGTTGTGAAAACCAAGGAGATGATGTGTCATGGCTTGCCCAAGCCAGAAATGGAAGTAGCAGCAGAACTTACTCTGTTTCTGACTCAGGCTTGTTTTCTAAGTGGATGATCTTTACTTTCTGGGAATTGTTACATTCTTGTTATGCACTTCCCAGCATTTTATTATGCAAAAGAGGTCAGAACTTCTGCCCTTGAGCACCTTACTCTCCTCAAAACAGACATTTTCAAGCAGAAATTTTCCACTACAGAGGGCTGTCTATTTTTTGGCAGGTAGACCTGAATTGGTACAAAGGGCATAACATTCCTTGAGTTGCAAGCAACTTCATAGGGCTCCAAAAGGCCATCCATACTCACTTTGGAAAGATGGTCACAATTATCTTTATTCATATAGAACTAAATAAACTGTATTTCCTGATAGAGGTGAAAGTGTATGTAAGAATAGGTAATAATGATTATGCTCATTAAACCCTAAAGTATCCTCTGGTTAGATGATACCCAAAGTTTAGCGATGTGAGAGTTCCCATTTTAGACTCTTAAGAGATTAACATCTCTTCATGTATGTTGTTAGAGATAGGGAGGAAAGGAAGAAGTTTTAAGTAAGTAAGAAAAAGACAAATACCACTGTAGATAAATGCTGATTTTAATGGACGTGGAAAGGCCACTGTGTCTTTAAGGCACTTTGTGTCCTGAGGTGAGAGTGAAGACCATGAGTGGTTTGAGGAAACTGTTCATTAATGCTGGGACGGAACTAGGGAAACACGGAAGCGGGAAAGGCCTCAACTAGAGACGTTCAGTCTACTGAGCAGGATGTCCCATCTTTTATCCCACTGCATTACCCCTTTGGTCTCTCAGACTGAGCTGAGTACCCATTTTATACAGATCTAGATGGCAGAAATCTAATTTTTAAAAATTTGATAAAGGGCATGCATGCTCACTGGAGAAAGGGAAAGTGAGAAAGCACCCTCCTGTGGTCATGCCGCAATCCCTTCTCTCCATTTCTCCTTCCTTTTGGTATTTTGGGCACATAACACAAGTGCCCTTGGTTTATCAAGATGTCAGGACTCAAACTACACAGTCTACTATGTGGGATCCAGTGGCTTTAAACAACGCATACCATCTTCTTGAAATACTTTTTAAATGTATACTTCCCCCCAAAGTAATGCAATTGAAAAAGAGAAGCAAGGTTTAGAATGTGGGTGAGTAGTTAAAGTTAACATTACAACTTTGGAGACTGAAGGTGATTATGAAGTTATGAGAGAGAAAAAGTTCTTTCTCCCCTTATTCTCTCAAGATTTACCTAAGCAACTCTATATATTCAAACATGTTCAAACATGTCACTGTGAATAAGCAGAAATACTAGAAAACTCGTAATATAGGGCATACTAGAGGTGGTAGCAAGGCCAGCTGTTACATCTCATGGGACGCTATCTTAATAGATTTGCAGTCTGCTTATGGGAAGACTAGTTATAATGACTGCCACATTCCAACACTTTGGCTGGAGAAAATGGTAGTTTTCCATTTTTAAGAAAATCGCCCCACTGTTTTATCTTTGAATTACGTCAGTTAGCTCAGGGAAAATACAATCTTAGACAATGTCCTAAACTGTGGCTGTTTTGTGGTACTGTACACGTACCTTGCCAAAAATGTAAGCTATGACACCTATAAGATGTTACATAATTTCCTTTTCTAGACGCGATCTCAGAAATGAATGTTTATTAGCAAAAAGGAGCAAAATGGATAGTCCAAAAGGATCATAGAATTTTTTTTTTCAAAATGTAAAGCACACACTCATGAAGTTTGGTAAAAGCAAAGGAGGGAAAACAGAAATGTATATAGGTCTATGTGTCAATAAAAAGGCTGAAAAGAATGAGAGATGCTCCTTGATTTGTAACGAACTTACATCCCCATAACCGGTCACAAGTTGACATTGTTGAGTGGAAAAATGCATTCAATACACTTAGCCCAATCAACAGCACAGCTTACCCTAGCCTACCTTAATGTGCTCAGAACACTTACTCTAGCCTTCAGTGGGGCAAAAATTATCTTATAGCCTCTTTTCTAATAAAGTTTTGAATATTTCATGTAGTGTATTGAATATGAAAGTGAAGAACAGAATGACTGTATGGGTACTTAAAGCAGAGGTTCTAATGAATGTGTATTACTTTCACATCATTGTAAAGTTGACAAATTCTCAATTGAACCATTGTTAAATCAGGGACCACTTGTGTTTAGAAGGCTCAAAATTTCCCTTCTGACTATTATACTATTTTAAAATTGGAATTGATGAAAAGCTTAATATATTTAGACACATATAAGAAGATATCAGAAGTTCAGGAATAATTCCCAGAACTTCACTTTAGGGTATCTTAATTTTATTTCCAATTATTCTACCATCAACTCAAGAGTACATTCAATTTAATATTTTAGAGCAGGGGTTATTTCACTTCCCTATGAAGATGGCATCTTAAATATGTTGTATATGTGACTGTATTTGCAACTACTTGGAGAACTTATAAAGTGAGGCAATGTTAACTACTTTGTCTTTAAATTTGTGGATTAAAAAAATGACATGCTTAATAATAAATACTTAAAACCTATTTTCTGTAGCCCAATAGGTCATTTTAGTGATACCAGTGATAGGAAAAGAAATTTCAAAATTATTTCTTTGCTGATAATTTCACATTAACAAGCTTGAGATAGAACTTTGCATATTATGAATGATTATAATCTAATTCAAATTTTACAGATGCTATATTTAAAAGTCACTGGCACTATCTTTCAGGCAAGAACGGTCAACTGCTGGTCTTCTTAAATATCCCCTAATAACTATCAGACAATTTATTCCTCAATGCATTTGCTATTTTATTTATTTTTTTTGAGAGGTTTTCGCTACAGGGTGCATGCACTCTCGCCAGACAGACAGAGACATAGAGACAGAAAGCGAGAAATCACCCCCCAGGGGAGATGGTCATGCCATAATCCATTCTCCTTCATTCTCCTCTTGGGATCTTGGGCACGCATGCACACGCGACCAGTGTGAGTTCTAAGCCACCAGGTCCGGGACGCAAATCGCTGTTGACTACGTGGGAATCCAGCGACATAGCCATTATGCTAACTGCTGGTTCCCCCATGTTTTTCTACCACGCATATGTTAAAAAAAATATGGGTGGAGATCAGCAGATAGTGTAATGGTTACGTCACTGGACTGCCAAGTAGTCAACCACCAATTTGAATTCAAACTCACACCGGACACATGTACGTGTATGTCCAAGATCCTGCGAGCAGAATGGAGAAAGGAATGCAGCAGGGCCATCCCCGCTCAGGGGTGATTTCTTGCTTTCTGTCTGTCTCTTCTGCAAGCACATGTATCCTACAGCAAAAATCTCTCTCAAAAAGACAAAAAAAAAAAAAAAAGGTTGTACATCTCTTATTCTGAGGGTGGCATCTACACATACAGCAGAGAATAAGTTTGCAACATTTATTAAAATGCAGAACAGAGTGAAGTATTTCTTGTTGAACATCTTTAAGATGACTGTACACCTGAGGGAGTAGCTGCCTGTATTTTAATAGATCTATTTTAGTCCTAAGAAATAGATTCATCTTTAGAAAAATGTCTTCCTCCTTAATTACCATTGATGAAATGGTAAAAACACAAATTCCTAGGCCATCAATTCACAAGAGTACACAGGTTTATTTTATCCCCTGAAATAAACTTTGTCTATTACTTATTACATGTGTATGCTGCTTATTGTTCTCAAGTACTCATTATCCAATCACATGTAGTATATATGTTTACACATGTATACCTGTGTGCTATATGCATATGTAAACATACACTTTTTTGGAAAATAATTAACCTTTATTTTATTTAAAATAAAATTATTATGCACTGAAAATTGGATAAAACCCCTGATAAAATTTTACCTTAAAACACAGAATATTCACATACTTATGGTATACAAATTCTTTCCTAGTTTAAAAACCTGTAGCAGCAAGGCCAAGCTGCAGTGGTACACAGGCACCACTGCTTCAGATACTGGAAGACATGTGGGAGGTCCAGGTCTGTTTCTCAGGCCAACCTGACATGCTGGGTACAGATGCATGAACCTATAATCTTTGCTAACTGGGAGGCTGGGCTAGGAGGATCACCATACAGTGAGACTCAGTCAAAAATGTGTATTCTGTGTCTCTCCTGTCCCCACTTCTCTCACAAAGGAAAACAAATACTCTAGTGATCAGTTACAGACTGAGTAACAGAAGACAGGCTACAGCTGACCATCATTCTCAACTATACTTTAATTGCCCCTTTCTAAATGCACTAATTTGCTGGTTACCTTCTTCTTTAATTTTTTCCTCTTATTTTTCTAAGACCGACAAACATCTTCAGAGGCCTATTGCCATTTTCACAACCTGGAAATTTTTTTTATTTATGGAAAAACCTAAAAACTAGAGAAAGCCCACAAAATAACAGTCATTTCAAACCAAGACAATGCATTTTTTTCCTCATTTATTCAAATTCACTGCAGGAAGTAAACACTAAAAGATTAAAAAACAAAACAAAAAATTCACACTGCAGTATATACAGTTTCATGACATCACATGAAGAAATTAATTGTCTAATAAAAATGGCAAATTATATTATTGAACAGATCGCATCAAAATTGGTTGTGTAAACTCCAGAAATGTTACCATGTACTGTGCCTGTATTCCAGTATTTGCTAATATGGAAATACTCCTGGTACAATATTATATTTCCGATGGGATTTAAAAATCCATGAAAGCAGTTGTGTGAATTCCTTATGCTGAAAAGTGGTTGACTTAATTTAAAAAAAAAAAAAAATTAAGACCCTTGGATTCAAAGAACATTCTTTCACAAAGTTTAAACCACAGAAGTCATGTCCAGAAATGGAATACTGTCATGTTGGGATGAACATCTGATCTGACTTGTTAAGACATTTTGCCAAATGCACAGATGCACAGGGTCCCCCATGCACTTTTCATGCAGCAGGTAATCACAACTTAAATAAAAGGTTTATTCTATACATTTGTCCAGACTTGCAACTGTATACATACATGCACAATTTTTAAACCTGTCTGATTATATTTACACTTATACATGGAATATACAGAAACCAAAGAGATTAAAAGGCTTTTCTGTTGCATTAGAACAATACAAAATATGTATTTTTCATTAAGGAAATCATTATTTACATCACCTTTAAAAACCAATTTTAACATCTTCATGTAACAAGTCGATTATATATATATATATATACACACACATTATATATATATATATAAAATATATACTCTCACCAGTTTACTCTTCTGTAAGATGCAGCAGAGAATAAACAGGTAATGCTACCTTACTGATGTCAATGAGAGCTGTAGTACCCTTTCACAAATGACTTTATTAGGAAGAAATTGTCTAGATATCTAAAATAGTCTTTGAAAAATGTGTATATGTGCATCCTCATATCTACATATGCATAAACAAAGTGAATTTGTGGATGGATGCCCTTTCTCACTGCTCTTCTTTGAAATCACCCTAAACTCAAACTGGGGCCATTTTCTAGTAAATCAGAACAGCATTCTCTATGATCAGATTTATTTATGTATTGCATATTCTCATTCCTTTAACTGTTAAGAACAAGAAAAATAACCAACCAACCAAAAAAAAAAAAATCAAATAAACGGCAATGCTGGCCCTTGATGATGTTTTCTCTGACCCAAATTTCACTGCCTTGTAAAAAGCCCATTTCCCCCTGACCAAGGGAGAATACCAAATTTACTCTGACCTACCTCCAGACCTTTTGCCATGACGGAAAAAATGACTTGTTTAATAGATAGTGTAGACAAGATTGTCACAGTGTGGACAGGGAGCAGAATATTTCCACTGGTCACAGAATTTTCATGTCAGAATAAGCATACGCCTTCACCTTAACATGATGTAAAGTAATATTGACTCCTTATTAGCATGTAATATATCCAGTAACTACTTACGAACCATTTGAAAACAAAATAGCTCTTTAGAGCTTTGGATCATATTAGGAAATAACACCCATTTTAATATAAATATTTTAGAAACAACTTCAAGTAGAACAACTTCAAATGAATTGCCTTCTAATTACTAGTTGATTATAAAATGAATTTTTGATAGGTCAGCTGCTAACCTGGTTCACAATTAAAAACAAAATATTATCTGATGAATGAACTGTTGATCATAAAAACTGAACTTAAAAACAGAAAACAGATTTGTTTCAAGATCAAAACCCCATGTGGATCAATAACATATTAGGTTCTTTCAAGACAGTATCGATGTTTACTGTTAATCACTATTTTAAAGTAACAGATTCAATGGAGTGACTATGTATAATTCTGTCATATTTATGTGCCCTTTGTACTTTTTTGTTTAATCAATCTAAGTTTAGTGCCTTCCTTGGGTTTGAATTAAATGTTTTGATCTCTGTCTGCACTATTCTTAGGACAATGGTTTTTAATAGACGTTAAGGATGTATTCAGAAGTTTCCAAACCATCCTGGAATCACCTGAGTTTGGTAAGTGGCCCTGTTATTCCACCCCTAAGGCTAATTAAGTAGATGTTACTCATTAGAACACATAAACAATCACAGATTTTCCTGAGATGTTGAGCCAGATATGAAAATTGTCCCCTCTACCCACATTTTTTTTTGTCATAAAAAGTATTCTGAACCCGATTTTCAAAGACATTAACGGTAATATATGAACTACAATACTGCAAATTTTGAGTCATGTGTGACTGTACTGGGGAAAATAGAGGCATCAAATAATTTTTTTAAATAATTTTTTACAGTCCCATATTCTGAGTAAAGTCATAAGCAATGATTCTCAGACTTCGGTGTGCAGAAGAAACACCTAGAAGGCACTTTAAGATGCAGATGGAGGATTCCCAGGTCCACTAGCAGAGACTCTTGTTCTGCAGATCTGAGAAGCTGCCTATTAATCTGCATTTTAGAATAAGTGCTCCAGATGATTCTAATGCAGGTGGTCTGAGTCCAGCTTTATGAAATCCTCATCATAAAACTCACAGGTACCACAGGAATGGTGAGAATTAACTTTTACAAGAGATGAGGAAAACTGTCCAAAGAAAAGCCATTGTGTTTGCTAAAAACAATTTCTTAAATATTCAACTATTCAGGAAACCACCTGAAGATAAATGTTAACTTTTCTAATTCTGTAAAAGGAGCATTAATTTAGTAAAGTAGTTAAAATACAAAAATGGAAATCTGCCTTTTTAATTTTTTTTTAAAGAATCTATCAAACTTCCCTCAATTGTAATCGATTTTTAAAGTAGTACAAGGTTTAAAGAAATATATATTGAAAACGACTGGGGTGGGACAGACACATTGGAATCACAAAACCCCTTCCAAGAGTTAAAAATAAATTATGTTTTTTAGCAAAAGTGAAAAATGTAAGCACATCTTTTCTAATTTATTTTTGAATTGGATAATGAGATGTGACTCAGCATTCTTTTTTTTTTATTGGAAAATTAACCTTTAAAGAGTTATTTAACAGTTTGGACTTTAAAAAATGTGTTATGTAGGCTGACTTCTGAAAAGCAAAATAAAGTATCCTATTAAAGGCAGTAAAATGCATTAATCCACTATGGATGGAATTTTATGTTTTAATTTATGCCTATTATTTATGATTATAAAAGAATTTCATTCATAGGCTACTCACAGTTGTTATCAGATGCATACAGAAGTGTTAAACAACCAATTGCTAGTTCAGTAGTTTCCTCATGACATCTAATGTTAAGCAAAAATTAGTATGCATATTTAAACATCACCAGTAACCAATACTTTTCAAAATGAAAAAGGTTTCAATTTATACCATGCTTTTCTCAAATCATGCTCTTATTTATACAGATCTCAAGTTTATACTAGTTTTTAAAAGATCCAGAGCTGGATGGCAGGTACATTTCATTCTGATTCTTTTTTTATTGTTAGCACGTTTCCCAAAAGTCCATAAACTTCTCCATTTGCGCTGTGTGGGCGAGAAGTATTATTTCCCATATGGCTATTGTAAGGGCTTCTTAAATTAAAGAAAGAAGCTTTAGGTTCTGCAGCAGGAAGTAACTCTTCTTTGACTGTAACCTGTGAGACACTGTCGGCAGTGGAAGGCTCCCTCCAAATGTCCCTGTCCTGTGTTTCTCGACTGGTAACAGAACTGCCTCCTTTCTGGAGCATGTAATACAGTATTGGGTTAGTTTTGGTCAGTCTTGGGGAGTCTTTTTCATACTCACTCTTATCCACATCTGTGATAACCCACTTAATGGGTCCCTTTTCACTGGGCAAAGAACACCCATTCAAAAGCCCAGTTTCAGACCTAGACCCCACACAGCTCAAGTGCTCAGAGAAAGGGGGACTTACAGGAGTTTTTACTACTCCTGGGTATGAAAATGTCCTGCTATCCATGCATGTGTTGGGCTGAGTGGAACTGTACATCAGACCATTTAAAGAGGACATGCTGAACTCAGGTTTGCTACTGGTCACATTATTTTTGTGTCCTTTCTTTTTACCATCAATGACAGAGTTACTCCGATGTGGGGACAAATCCCGCACACAGTTCTCTGAGAGCAGCAGCTGTTTCAGAACATTGAAGCTTTTGCTCTCTCTGGCCCAACTCCTATGTTCACTCTCACTGGCTGAACCAAGACCAGCAGGGTATTTAAATTCTAGGTCATTTCTGCTAAATTTCAGCTCTTCCTGGTTAAGCAAGGACCCATAAAGTACTTCCGGAGCACTGTGATTGTTTGCAGCATCAACGATGTTATTTTTCATCTTTTTAAATGGATTTTCCAATGGCTCAGTATAAAGCTTCCTTTTCTTAGGGACCATGCAAAGATTCTTTGATTCCAAAAGTGTCAGTTCACTATTTCTGTGACTCTTGTCTGGATCATCTGCCAGATAACTCTCTTGATTTTGTCTCAACAATCGACTTAACAGACCATTCTTTGAGAAAGAAAAATCCTGAGGTGAAGCGGGCTCTGATTTAAAGTCCTCGGATACTGGTAAGGCGGCAGCGCTTCTCTGCATGGTGGGAGCCATACCTAAGAATGGAGCACCCTTAGTGTCATGGCTCAAGTGCACATTTGTATTATGAATATTTGAGTCATCACAAGGCTCAGATTTTATTTTCACCATCAGTATTTGTTCATTTAAAGCTCTATCTGTATGTTCCTGAGTACTTTCGTCTCTTAAAGGAATTTTGTCTTTCTTCTCACTCTTCCCTTTGTTGGGGTTTCCCAGGAGCAACTGTAGGACAGTGCGTCTTTCAAGCAGATTTTCTATTTCAGAGCCTGAAAGTCCCGCTTCAGGACCTGCTTGTTGACTACTGAATGCTTTATTTTCTTCGACTGCATTTGTTTTGTTTGAAAGCAGAGAGCTATTTAATCTATCAATCACACCTATAGGTTTATCTGTGTTTACAGTTAATAGCTGTTTGCTGGGTCTCTGTTCTTCCACTGACATGGAGGATTGCATTCCACATTGCGCTAAATTTTGTAACAGCTTACTGGCACTGAAAGTTGCAGAGTTTTGTGCACTTTCAGTTGTGGCTGGTTTCTCTCCTTTTGATTCTTTGTTTTTTGTGAGGTCCATCAAGTGGTTAGACGCCGTATTTGCTAGCTTTTCAGACTGACTGCTGCAGGCGTATGGTGGAGAATTCCATTTTATGACCAGAGAGTGCTGAGAAAGATTAATGGGAGACTCTGCTTTGGTGGATGGAAGTAAGGGTGGAGTGCTCACTGGAGTAGTCCTATTTGTACTGGGGCTTTCTATTACAGAAGTCCTTGTATAATTTTGTGCACTGAACTTTGTCACATCATTGTGTACTCCCTGAGGGCTGGTGTTTTTTTCTACACTTTCTTCATTCTTATGGCCAAGTAGCAATTGAAGAAGTGTTACTTTCTGGTGTGAATTCAGCTTAGAATTCTTTGAGGTATCTTGATCTTCTTTCATATCTACATCTGGGACCTTTGGATCCCAGGTGTTTAGTAAGGACTGAGTTAAGTTATCCAGAGAAACACGTTGGTCGGATTCTGGTTTTTCGATTCGGTGTTTGCAAGACAGGTCTATAGGGACACAGTTGGAATAAGAACTTTCATCACCACTGCTGTCATCTGTAAAACTAGGATTGTTATCTGAATATTCATCAACAGTTGTAGGTGTACTACTGTCTTCGAAAATGCTTCCCCTCTCACTATGATTGTGTCCGTTCATTGGCTTAGGTATGGTCTGGCTTTTAAGAAGATGTAAAAGCAAACTATTATTAGCAGTTTGTTTTATACTATTTCTCTCCAGTGAGTTCTTATAGCTCACATTTTTGGGGGAAGAAGGAACAATACCCACTGGATTTTGAAATGTTGTGGTATTACTTTTGCTAGCCATTACTTTGCTCGAGGATGTTCTTGCCTGACCATTAAGATGGCTTGATACTCCTTTTGAGATCTGGAAATTGCCAACATCCTTTTGGCCATTTTCTTGTAATCTGGCCATAGCAGCAAGTCTTTCACTTGCTGCTTGATTTGCATTTTGGGTTTTTAAAGCATGTTCCCGAGAATACTGCTGCAAATGGGCTTCGCTTGAAAGGAGTAATGCTAACTGGCTACAAGCAACACTAGGTTTCGGTGAGGTGGCTGGGCTAGCCCTTTTTTCTACCATGCTTGCAACAGCTTGCAGTCTTGCAGCACATGACAGGGGCTCACTCATGACCTTTGTTCCACTTTGTCCAACATGATGTGGTGACTCCACAAACCTGTCTCTAATCAGGTTTTTAGTTACATCAGGAAGATTGGTATCAGGCTTTTGTTCTTTAGCTTTACTTTTCTTCAACAAAGTTTTTAAGTGACTTGATGCAACACCATAGCACCTTAAATCCTTCTCCACTTTTAAAGAATCATGACTGAGGGCATATCCTTGCTCCTTGAGGCTCTGCCTAATTTGTTGTGACAGAGCAACGGTCTGAAGCCTAGAGCTGAATGACTGAAGCAAAGAGGCCAGTAATGTGCTATCCTGTTTGCCTTTAGGCACATTGTCAACCATGCCAGCTAGCAAAGCTTCCTTCTTTACATTTAAATTTACGATGGAATCGGACAGCCTCTTCCGCTTTGCTGCATTCCAGTCCTCAGAAGACTGCAACAGTCTGGCTTTTTTGAGATGAAGCATGCCAGATCCCTGGTATGTATGTGTATTGAGAACTGGACCATTACTTTGACAGGTGGGAAATGCACTGCCAGATATGTTAAAGTTCTGATCTTCTTCATTACGCCCAGTAGACTTTTTGTCAATGGCAGAACCTGATCCCCCTGCTGCCTGATGCATTAGTAATCCTTCTAAGTAAGTTAAAACAATAGAATCCTGGTGCACATCAGAGCTAAGCTCTTCTCCATGAGTCATGTTCAATAGAAGTGTTCACAGGGGCTTGATTTCTATTCACTTTAAAGAATGGTTTTCTGTGGTGAGATGTAACTTTAATAAGCGAGTGTCAGTTTATCACCTTCCATAGCAGTTAGGTGGAGATGTACTGTTACATTCTGACCAGGATTACTTCTGGTAGTGACGAGATATAGATGGGAAAACTCCAACGCAGTTTGACCACTGAGCTGACCAACTTTTATGTAAGAAGAATAATTCTTTAGCACATAGATCTGTAGCAGCAGGCAGATATAATCCTCAGTGAATACACTGATTTTCCTTCTTCATCTTTTGTTCCCCATTTACAAGCAAATACCAGTATTCTACAAAAAAATAAAAATAAAAACAGTTAAATAGGTGCAAGATTAAAATCATGCTATAGAACCTGTAAGCAAGAGAATATAGTATTTGTGAGCTTAAATGTTGATATTACATAAAATATACTTATATATGTATTATAGTCACTTCTCTATTTATCTATTTATTATCTCTTTATTTCCATTCCTATTCATTGAAAAATCTAATGGAAACTTGTGGGTTAATCTATATTGTTAGAGTGATCAGACCATTCAAAGAAAACATGTTTAATGCTATAACACAATAATTATAATGTTATAATATAAACTGTTTCAAAGTCCATCATGTTTTAGAATTATCCTAAGCACCTTTCTGCAAAATAATGTGAATGTTAAGTCTCCTTGGTAGCATTATGGCTCTATAACAGAGCTAGAATGAACCTCCAAACATCTTTTGGGAAGTGAGGAGGTATCCAGTTAAAAACAATACTGTTTGACAATGGTACATATCTTATAATTGATGACACATTGCTTAATAAGAGGAATCTTTTTCTTTCTTAGTGGAAACAAAAATAAGGGTAGAATTTATAACTGATGGCATCATGGAGTTGAGGAAACACCACTGTATAACAATCTTTTTTTTTTTTTTTTTGAGAGGATTTTGCTATAGGGCGCGTGCGCTCGCCAGACAGACAGAGAGAGACAGAGAGATA